ACCTGCTTGTCATCCTCCCGTGGAAGGGTCAATACCTGAGCCAACCTGGATTCCTTCCTTCCTCTTGACTAATATCTGGTCCAGCTGCCACGCTCTGCAGACTGTCCTCACAAGGCTTCCTGCATAATCCCCTGTGTTCCAAACCTGGCCCAGAACCACCTCCCCTCCCTACCTCCTAACTCTCACATTCAGAGGATCCTTGCAGCCCCCACTCCCTTCATGTGGAAGAGCTCGCGGGTCTCCCATGAAACAGACAAACTTCAATGCCGCTTTAGCTGCCCCATAGCCTATGCTCAGGCTGCTCCTGCCACTTTAATGTGCTCGCTTACCCCACTCTGCAGGAACACTGTCTCACACCCACTGGGCACTCAGACCTTCCTCTCCATCCAGCCTCACACTGCTCTACGCCAATCTTCATCTACGGAACTATGGCCCATTTCTTAAAGTTCACTGAAAACCCTGTCTCCCCTAAGAATTTTCCTTACTCTCTCTGGATGTTTCACAACCCGTTCTTCAACAAGCACTTCTGAATGCACCACGCACTGCTGCCCCACACACTCCAGGGCACGGCTGGCTTCCTCCTCTCAGAGGCCCTCCCCGGCCTCTCCTGAGCCACTGTAACCTATGAGATTCCCAACCAGACTGTGTGCCTTAGAGACTAAAAGCTCAGAGAATGACTGCTGAATTGAGCTTGTTAACTCTCTGGATTCACCACTTTTCTAAACAAATTCTAAGTATTTCCAAGAAAATTCATGGCATGTGAGGTACACTTTGGGAGGCTGAGCTGAAGCAGCTGGGTCACAAGTTCAAGTCCTGTCTGCACAAGCCAGAGAGACTCTGTCTCAAGACAAAGTATTTAAAAAGGGTTAGGGATATAGCTCCGTGGTGCAGTGGTGATTCTAGGTACTACAAAAAAAAAAAAAAAAAAAAAAAAAATCAAAGCCAGAAAAAATTACTTTACTCAATACAGTCTCTAGAATCTGCAATTGTTGCAACTGCTAAATTCCAGTAATGCTCCAAAAAAACTTAAAAATTGTAACAAAAAAAAAATCCGACTCAAAATGTAATGTTTCAAATGCCACTGTTAACTGTGTAGCCTGGCTACAGGATGAAATAAGAATCTATAGTTTAAGTGAAAAGAAAAAAACTTACTTCCTGATCACATTTAGGGCAACAGTGACAGTGCACTGGATAAGAATCTGCCAGCCAATGCTGAGCTGGACCCATCCCTGCCCAGAGAATGTCCACCCAAGCCAAACAGACACTATTATATATAAGAAATATGGAAAATATGGAGGTTGTAAGGGAGATATAGATAATGTAACTTATTAGTATGATTGACAGGTTGTAGATTAAAATAGCTGCCATTCACCCCATGTGGGCAATTGATGTGTGTGCTATGATTTTTCGTAGTTGTGTTTGGTTTAACCCCTCACCCTCCTAACAGAATTGACAGGACGGCTGACGATAAGGAATAGGGGCTGGCTGATCACAGAGAATGATTGGAAAAGGACGGATGGTTAAGGGGGAGATTTTTGTCAGGTTAGTAAAATGAGACCTGATAATAGGGGATGCCTTGGGAGACTTCAGGTACTCAAAAGTGGAAGGGGGCTAGTCCCAATTTCATTATTAGGGAGGTAGTGAGTATAAATGAGACTATCTGGTTTTGGTAGTGAATGATAGCCCATTGTCCTGAATATGCTAAGGTTAGAATAACTGAAAATAATAAGAGTATTGATGCTGATGCTTGGGTGAGGAAATATTTGGCTGCAGCTTCTGTAGATCGGGGGGTGTAGTTGGTCATTATGATAGGGATTGTGGCTATTATACTTATTTCTAGGCCGATTCATATGAGTAGCCAGTGTGAGTAGTATAGATGATTGGTTTTGATAAAAGATTAATTAGTACGGGAAGGATATAAACCAACATTTTCGGGGTATGAAGAATCAGAATAAGTGTTGATATAGGATGGGGTCTCCCCCTCCAGCCGGATCGAAGAAAGTTGTATTTAAATTTCGATCTGTGAGTAATATAGTAATGCCTGCAGCGAGCACAGGTAGGGAGAGGAGAAGGAGAACAGCGGTAATTAAAACTGATCAGACAAACAGCGGAGTTTGATACTGTGTCATTGCAGGGGGTTTTACATTGGTAATGGTTGTAATAGAATTGATTGCCCCAGGATTGAAGATACACCTGCTAAGTGAAGGGAAAAAATGGTTAAATCTACGGAAGCCCCAGCAGAAGACGACTGGACACCCACTGGGGCTCATGTGCCTCTGTGAGGCTCAGACCTGAGAGTCAGCAGCAGGTGATCTGGACCACCATGAACTGCAAAAGGACACAGGTGTTTTCTGAAGGCTCAAGGGATCCGGCTTTGAGATGTCAAACTGAATTCACAGACTGGCACTCAATGTGAAAAGCCATTTGGGATCTCCCAAGACAGGGGATCTTATGCTCTAATCCCGGTGAAGTGTTTAGGTTGGCATTAACCTGTCCTGAAAAGCGGAGAGGAAGCCTTTTTGTTCTCAGTGGTCAAAGCTAAATTCAGACCTAGTTGTGAGATACATGAGAGAAAATCATTTCTGGTTTTGTTCCAGCTTCTAATTCAATAGCGGGCAGCACACATCTGCCTCAGGCGACAATTAAGAGGAGATGTGCACAACGGGAAGTGACAAGAGCTTCCTTCACACAAGCACCTTTAAAGGCAGCTTTTTAAAGGTAGCTACTTCCTTCAAGTCACGGTGGCCTGAAAATATCAGCTGAGAATATTGAAAGATTAACTCCACGGAATCTTGTTAGGAACCTTGTTTTTAAGCGGATATTTTTGGCAGTTTTTTAAAAACATCACATTAAGTGTTAGAATTGATAATCAAATTCATCACTTTGGATGTAAAGAAATATGAGGGTTTTTCCAATAGCCCACATTCACTTCTGGCTGAATGATTGCTGAGGCCCACACAGCCTCCAGTGAAAGCGAGGTGGCAGCGGGACACACGAAGAAACCTTTAGACCTGGGCACTGCACCACACCCACTCACCACCACTCACAGGCACACGGCAGGAGACACTATGCCTGCCGCAGGAAGCTTTTTACACAGCTGGACTGAAAAATACGGTGAGAGACCAGAGAACAGCATGAAGCAATACATAGTAAGTCAGTTACAGGCACAGATGGTAGGCATTATATACATTTGGGCTCAAAATGATCTCTGTTTACAAAAACTATTTTATAAAGGAGATAGAATTTCATGCAGGCCTTACTGAATATTTCTGGACAGGTCCCCATCAAAGGACTCCAGGGTGGGCAGTGACACACCGACAGTGTGGATTTCGCATTTTAGAAAACAAAAGAGACAGGACAAACTGATAGAGGAGGAATTCACATTAAGAAGACATGAACCTGTACATCTTTGTTATTCAACAGGTGTGTATTTAATTTATGGAACTGATACCCCTGGGGAAGATGCATGAGACTACACAGAGATGAGAGCTGAGGGAGAGAATTTACTACATAAATAGACAAAAAAGTCTTCTCATTACTAAAATATGCAGTTTCTTTAAAGGACTCGCTTAGGTTTTAGCTTTAGGCTGATTTCCAAATAGTTGCTGTATTTCTAGATCACCAACAAACTCAACATTTTGGTCAATTTCCTTGATGTGTTATACACAAAAATAGTTTGCAATCTGGACATACAATTTATGGCATAAATAAAACTTTTAAAAATAAAAATAGCCATAACTCTTTTAGCAATTCCTCTTTTTTGCTAGAAATAATAATGCTCATGTACTGAGTACTAAACACTATGCTAAGCAATTAACATGTTTCTAAATAATTCTCATGACAATCTTATGTTGGTAAGATCCATGCAATTTGACAGTTTAAACATGCAAGTTTAAAAGAGAGAAGTAACTTGGCCAGCACAGCCAGCAGTAATAAAACCAAGATTCAAATCCAATCCTTCCTCACTCCAAGCAACAGTATCTAAATTTCTTGCTTAAATTTAAATGCTCAAAAGGCATAAGTAAGGAATAAAACAATTTATCAGGAGGGATGCATGACTCCTACAGTGAAAATCGTACAAGCATTGGGCTTTACGGTAGGTCAGTAGATCCTCTGGCCTTCGGCCCATGTGAATCTCCCACACTTGAACTTAATAACACACCACCCATTGTATTAGAGACAAAATTCAGGATGTACCAAAATGTTTCCCATTAACTTAGCTGAAAAACACACCTTCCCAAAGAAAATAACAAACAATTAAAAACCTAATGATGTCAGCATGTATAATGGATCTGGGAATCTTTGGGAAAGATGAAAGATCCACATGGTTTCGGTTCACTTCCCTTTGGTTTTCTGTGAGTCTCATCCCCTTAATAAGCTCTAAATTTTGAAAAGGTGGTGCACGCCTATAATTCCAGCACTTGAGCAGCTAACGCAGGAAAACCTCCACAAGTTAAAGGCCAGCCTAGACTACATAAGACCCTGCTTCAATCAATCAATCAATTTTGAAAAGGTGAAACTTCTGTCCTGTGCTCTCTGTTCCCATTTACTGCACACAGTGCCTTCTTTTTGCCATGTGACTGCCATGTGATGGCTTTTAGATCCAGAATTTAGAAGCTCTTCCTCTTCCCTGGTACCTGAATGCTTTCTAAGCACCTCAGAGACGCCATCCCAAGGCTCACAGCCCTCTTCAGGGTCCCGCATTGCCCAGAGATGACAGAGTTTCTGAGCAGGGCCCCGAGAGACAGTGGTGCAGGGCCAGCCCTGACCCTTGTACGGCACTTTCCCACTGCATCACAAGGTCCTCGCTGGGAATTCAGGTCAGTCCTGATCACCACAGTCATTGGTGGTAGCAGGAAGCAGCCAGCAGCAGCCTATAGGAGTCCTCCATCGTACCCTCGGGCACCCTTAAGGATGCCCTCCACTCAGTCACCACCAGCCCGTCTCCTGCCCACCTTCGCCCACTGCCACATCCTCGCCCTCCCCGGCCGCAGACTTACTCAGCCATCCCATGCTGGGGGTGCGCCGCACGCAGGAGTCATCCTCTGAGGTGCGGGCTGCTAGGCAGGGCACTGAGTTCTCAAGCGGGCTGCAGGCTTTAGTGTCAGAAGCAGAAGACAGAAGGAGGAGTACACATGGGCAGCCACAGCAAGGATGAGGATGGAAGCATTAATTAAGAAGAAAAAATGCTAAAGCAAATCACACAAGCAGGTTAGAGGAGAACAATGACATATTACAGTGACACACACCCCTTCCATGACCCCGCACCCCTGGGTGAAACAAATCCCAACACAGCCAAAGAATTAAAAGAAAAGAACAATGGCGTTCAATGATGGTAGCTTTCCAAATTCCACAGGTGATCCACCCTGCAACTCGAACACACAAAACAGGGATTATATCCAGAAAAGAGATTCACGTGGTGAACACTACTCTCCAGATGTCAGATGAGGACTTGATCACTGCGCCACATAAGCACACAAGAGGGAAGTTGCACACAGCGGTCAGCACGGGCAGGGAGATGGATCAGTAAGCGGCTCTCCAGGAGCTGCCCAACAGACCCTTCCAGGGATTTGTTCACAAACGCAGAAAGCACCATTTCAGACTTCCATTTCTAAGAGATTTTCTTTGATGAATATTAAATTTATTCCCAAGTGTTTTTGTATTCTTCTGCCCCCTAGCAGCCTGACACTAGAATATGCAAAAATTAATGCCTCAATACAAACCCCTTTAGCAATTCATATTAATCTTCATTTTCTGCTGCCTTGTAACACTTATTTGAGTTTTGTTGTTGTTTTTGTTTGTTTATTTTTTTTCTTTTGGTAGTACTCAGTATCAAATCCAAGGAAATTTTTTAAATTTTAAGACAGTCTCATTAAACTGCACAAGTTGGGCTTGAATTTGCAATCCTCTTGCCTCAGCCTCAAAGAGTAATAAGATTACAGGTGTCAGCTAATTAACGTGATTTCAAAATCAGGCGCACCCTTGCCAAATTTCAGACACACCAAAGCTGAACTATGACACAGGTGACGTATGCACTATGGTTCCTCCGGGTTCATCACATCACAGGGTAGCAGCGTCAACCTCTTCTTGAGGAGAGTTTCATTGGAGCTTGGGTTTCATCTCCCTCGCTTTGCTGTCTCATCAGTCACCAAGTTCCAAAGGCCAGTAAGAAGTGGAGAGCGAAATTATGCTTTAAGGAACAACAAAGGGTTTGGATATGCCTACCCTTTAGACTAGGTGCAATTTGACTTAAGAAAGTTTTTTTTCCTTCACAATAAAGACAGTCATTACCTGATCTCATGGTCAAAGCAATAAACAATTAAAACATATCCAAATGTTAGGTAATCTATTCACCCAAATGTGCAACAGATAAGACAGACAAATGGTGACTTGGGAGGTTAAGCTTTAAACTGAAGCGTTTATGAATTAATGTAAGTTTATGACTCCATTTGGGCATCCAGCACATTATAAAATCCAAAAACATTTTTGTCAATTTATCTGTCTGGGTTTAAAAGCTGTAAATAAAGCCAGGGCTTGTGAGCAGGCCATCTGTGCCAGCACCTGTCTGGAGCACATCTGATGTCTTCTCTTTGTCATCTGAATTTTTAATTGTTTCCCATAATTGAGTTTCTTTGCAAGTTTTTATTGTACTAAGAAAATGAAAAAGGGAAATGAACAAATTGAGAGTATTCCACAATTGCTTTTGTCAAGAAGGAGGCATTTGCAAATATATATTATCATGCTGACCAAGTCTGACCTCCTATTTCTTTTGACAGCTCAGTGAGCTGCTTCAAAAGCCCATCTTCCCACTATCTTGGCTAATGAAAGGTGAGTGTGAACAGCCAAGCCTGTCCATCTAGGCCCAATCCAGGGCCCCCTGAAGTGTGGGATCAGTGAGGACCAACAGAGGTTGGTCCCACATGGTAAACTTTGTCTCTAGCACAGGGCTTGCTCCTGCAGAGAGTGTGAGGGTTTGGAGCTACCCCCAACCTCAAAAGTGATGGATAACTAACTGTCCTTCCCCTCAACATGTCTGTGGCTACCCTCTGTGGGAGCTAAAGTTGCAAACTCCTTTGTGTGTGCACTGGCTTTCCTGGTGCCATCTCCTACCTAAGGGGACAGAGAGACAAAGACCTGGCTCCAAGGACAGGCGTGAAGTCTCCAAGGATAGGAGCTGCCCACAGGGACGTAGCACCTGGGCTTTGGCAGAACCTGACTGGAGCCACCTGGCTGCCTGTATGCATGGAAAACAGGAGGCCCACAGCACCTATGACCTAAGTGCACAAATTCTGACCCCACGGTCTGTGGGACCATCCACATTCTGTGCAGAGAGAGAGACACAAACTTTGCAGCCCTTGTCAGGACTGTTTCTGCTCTTCAGAAACTTACTCCAAAGATGAAATTTTGAAAAAAGTGGTCCCCAAAGCTAACACCAAAGTTTCAAAAGTTAGAAGATACAATATAACACAATATAATATAATAAATATATGTGCCTTTTCAGATAATGCTCGCAATGTACCTCCTCTATGCTTGAGGTACAAAACCACTTAGCTTTACTGCTATCTCATACGGTCTTTGCTGAATCACTTCAGCATAAATGAGGTAGGAATTGGCTTATGTCCCTGTGACGCCATGAGAAATGATGTGGCTCTGACACCTGAGTGATTGAGGAAACAGCTAGGGTGGGGTGACTGACTTGGCTTCCCCTAGGCAAATGAGAGCTCGAGTCCTAGACCTGTTCAAATGGGTCTGTTGGCACTCATCACATGATCAGACCCAAGAAACTCCTTTAGCAAAATCCTTTTTGATGATACTGTCAAAAAGAAAATAAATTTTACACATGTTAAAATTTTAGAACTCTTGAGAATGCAAAATTTTATGTTTGAGTAGCTATCCAATGCCTACTGTGTATTGCCAAGAAACTTCCCCTAAGAGTAAAGCGGTGTTGCGCTTATAAAATGTGAGACAAAACTCCCTTTGGAAAACCAAAAGAGACAGTCAACTGTCTTCCACATTTGGGAGGTGCAGAATGACACCTTCAACATCACATGACTATGTAACAAGAGAGAGCTGGGTTCACAGGTCGTGGGAAATCACGCTGGCTGTGGAAGGGCGCTCCCCTGAAGCTGGGTCAGCTCAGCGAGTACATTTCAGCCAAGCAGCATGGGCAGGTATCTGAGGGACAGACATCCATATATCACAGTATCATTCTGTGGCCCATTAATAAACAGAATTTTTTAATATTCCATAAAAAATAAATTCAACTTTAAACACAAAACATGCATTTTGTTAAAAAAAAAAAAAAGTAAGGTCTGCAAACTGGTAAAGATCTCTTCTCTCCTTTGCCCTTGCATGGAAACCCAGTGTGAGTAGAACAAGGCTCCATCATGATGAGATGACTCATCTCTTCCATGGGGAAAGCCAGTCGGTATTCCTCGAAGCTCATACCATCATCTCAGGCTCACCGTCCTCCGTGCCTCTGTCCACCCGCTCTTCACAGAGACCAGGACTCCAACCAGTCTCCCAAGTCCCCTCCTGTCCTCAGACAAAGCTGAGGGGTGCAAACCTGAGCTAGGCAGCCCTGAGGACCTCCCATCCTGCCAGAGCCGCCCCTGACCACAGCACAGGTCCCTCGGTGTCCCTTAGGAACTGTGCATGGCTCTTCCTGGAAAGGACAGGAGTTTCTTAGCTGTGGGACAACAGGTTCATTCCAGTTCCTCCACCACAGCCCCTGGCTGTGTAAACAGGCTGGCAACTTCCTAATAAGACTTCAAACCAGCACTTCCAGCCAACATCCTGCTACACAGATATTATTTCTTGATGGGTAACAAATACCATTGCTCAGAATACTGATAAATCATTATACTCTTAATTTTAAAATATTATAAAGTCCATGAGTGAATAGTTCATTATGTGTTATTTGGCACATATAAAGTTGTGAATGAAAATAACACTATTTTTTTTTAAAAAAAAGACTCCAAGAATGTTTTCTTATTAGATTTATGGGGGGGGGTGTTGAGAAACACAGAAAATAAAACACAAAATAACAGTGGCAATTTAAAACTGTGCCCCCAACTTTAAATCTGAAAATTATCAAATTTGTCTCTTAAAATATTTCTGTCCTGTAAAACAGCTGTTTCTGATAATGGTATACTCTGTAATGCTTATTAAACACTCCTCACAAATATATCACATCCACTCCTAGTTACATGCACAGAAAAGACAGTACTACCCTTACTTTATGATATAAAATCTAAGACTCAAGAGATTACTTAAATTTTGCAAAATCATGCAGCTAGCACACAGTGGGAATGGACCAGAAGCCCTGAAGAAGGCGGTATTCTGTCTTCACAAAGAAGTCTATGGAGCATGCTTTCAACATCAAAAGCTAAATACTCTATCTTTTAATCCTTATCCTGCCAAAAAAGAGCTGAATGCACTAGCAAACACTAAGAAGGAATGATTCTTGAGTGTGAAATGGTTCTTGTTTACTTAAATATTTGAACATTATAGATCTGGAATATCAGTCATTGCCTAGGGAAAACAACGGAAAACAAGAATAGTACCTGATGGATGAATTAGAAATACATTAGCTACAATTGTTACTACTATTAAGGAATAATTTCATTCAAGTACTTTGCTAGAAACTTTCCATGGACTGGTTCATTTATTCTAAGGTCAGGAAACTTTCCTGGACTGGTTCATTTATTCTAAGGTCAGGAAGAGCTTGATCATCACCTGGGTCGTCTGTGCTACACAGCGAATGGAAAAGTCTAGACCACAATGACACAGGGATGCGTGCTGTTGGTTTTGGAAAAGAGCTGACTATGCACAAACGCCCCTGGGATGACGACTCACGTGCTTGGTACCACCAGCCCAAGGACACAAGATTCACCTGCTTCATCCTAGTACCAGAGAAGCATGATGGCCTGCTTAGGGGGACAGTAAGGAAATGTCTGCCTACCAGTCAACTTGGAGACTATGCATGAGTTCAAGAGTGTGAGTGGAAGGAAGCCAGAGACAACTGGTGACCAGCAATCCAAAGCCCAGACAAAGCTGTGGACTGGCAGAGAGATGGACAGCATTGCCGTTCCTGGCGTGGTCCTGGCCAGATCTAACACCTGCTGGCACCAAGGCAACTGGATCTGACATTTGAAACCACCGAGCTGAAAGTCACAGCCAAAGCAAAAAGCCTGACTGATCCCACTTACATTTCTACAAACAACAACAACAAAGAGAAACTCATTTCTTTTTACTGCTTAGTCAGCAATGCTAACGACTGTGTCTAGGTTACTGTGGGAAACAGCAATACTTTTAACACCCTCAAGGTGCTCTTCGCTCCTGTCAAGGCAGCACGTGGGAGGGAACTAGGAGGGAACCTCCTGCCAGTAGACAGCCTGGAAAGAGTAGCCCGGGTTCAGGAGAAAGTGGGGGCAATAAGTGGATTACAGATTCCTTATTCAACGGATAAAAGCGGGAAGTTGGAAATAAAACCCAGAAGTTCAGTCAGGAGCAGGCTGTGGATCCCTACAAATCTATGAGGCACTGACCAGACGTCAGGCGAGGGTCGGGAAGGAGCACATGCCCTAGGAGCCAGCCGCCCAGCTTAGAACTGCCATCTGCTCCAACTTCAGGCTCCTAGAGAGGGCAGCTGCCCAGCATCCTGGAAGCCCAGGGAGGGCTGGGGCTCCCAAGGACACCATTCAGCCAAGAGCAGGACCAGTGCAGAGCAGACTCCTCTGCAAGAGGGCTGCAAGAACACACTTCCTCCCCACACACTGCTGAGGAAAGCCTGCTGGTCTCACCTACACCAAGGCCCAGAGCAGCTGGGTACGGTGACACACACCTGTAATCCCAGAGCTCTGGGATATTGAGGCAGGAGAATCCATGTTAAAGCCCAGCCGGGGCAATTTAGGGTTATCTCAAATACAAAAGAAAAAACGGACAAGGAAAGCAGCACAGTGCAAAGGTCTTAGATTCAATCCTATACCAGAGAGAGACAGAGAGACAGACAGACAGAGAGACAGACAGACAGAGAGAGAAGAGTGAGGGAAAGGAAAAGATAGAGAGACAAAGGAGGGAGGGAGAGAGAGAAGAAAGGAAGGAGGAGAGAGAAAGAGAGAAGGAGAGGGAGGGAGGCAGAGAGAAAGAGAGAGAGACAGACAGACAGACAGACAGACAGACAGAGAAGAAAAAGGCAAAGAAAATCAGAACTATACTATGAATTTCTGCCTGATAGTAAGCTAGAAAGCAGTATTCTAGCAACCGCTTCTACTCACATAAGATTTATCTTCCCTAATTACTGTTCTTTTGTTCTTGATCTTTTCTTTTTTGCGGTACTTGGGATTGGTCCAGTACCTTCAGACTGAGCTAGATCCCTAGGCTTTCTTTTATTTTGACACTGACACAGGATCCTGCTAAGTGGCAAAGCCACCCAATGGGGAATCTGAACTTGCAATTCTCTGGCTTCAGCTTCCCGAGTGTTTGGATTGTAGGCATGTGCCACCACATCCATGATTTTATTTTCATTATCTCTGTTTTGATATCTGTATTATTATATTTCCAAATTTTTTACTAGAAGACAGAAATAACTTTTCACTAATAAAAACTGAGGTCACCAAATTGGACTGGAGAAAAAGGAAATTTATAGTCTAAGTCCAACTGGATGACCAATGATACTCCAAGATCAAGGTCAAGTCTTTTCTCATCACAACCAATACACTGAGAAGTTGTAAGACTTGCCTAAAATTTGGTCCAGGCAGATACAACTATTAGAACTGACAGTTATTTCAAACAAGTGACAACTTCACAATTACAAATGTCATGGAAGCTAGCTGATTATCCTGTTTTACTACAAATGAAAATAGTTTTTGTTTCTTCTTAAAAACATAAAACCATCCTAGCACCCTACAAAATGTGAGATTTTAGCTATATGTGCAGACAGCTGCATGTTAGTAATGTAAACATTTGAAAATCAACTATGGAAGATGTATGTGCACATACATGTGTGTGTGAATGTAAGCGTGCATATGTGTAGTAAATTCAACTACTGTAAAAGATACACAGCACACATTGTAGAAATAATAAAATGTGCAATACTGTACTGTAAATTACACAGTCAGTTGGCTCTCACAGAATGCATTTGTTGATATTTTCTAAGCTCCTGCAATTATAGCTGAAAGCATAGTTCCAATGGTCCAGGCTGTTAATATTATCACGAATCTTGCTATTCATCATGCTGTTGCTGGTGTAACTAAAGTTGGCAATGTCACTGGGTCTATTTTCTTGCCTATTACAGAAGATAAAGGTGACTTGAATTTATCTAGGTTTTACCTGAGGGTATTAGAATCTAGCTGTAACTACAAAAAAAAAACATAATATTCTGACATTAAAATAGTAGTGAGAGTTATATAATTCATTATTATAGAAAATTATTCTAAGAACATTTCATAGTTCTTAAGGATATTAAATGCCAAGGTACAGAAAAGGAACAATGTAAACTTGCAAGTTATGAACAAGCACTTTAGAAAGCCAAAAATTTGCTATCTGATAATCTATAATAATGTACCTTCAAGGTACATGAAATTCACTGCCATAGGATCTCTCAAAGCCAAATCTTCTCTGTGCTATTTTAGAAGGACTTAGGTAACACAAAGGCTAACAATAACATGTTTAAAAAGACCTAATCACCTCATGCTTCAGGGAGTAAGTTGATCAACTGAAGAGCCAGAAAAGAACCACCCACCTTCCTATTTGATTTCTGCCCAGCATATGTAACATTGCACAAGTGGAGAGGTGAACGATGAAACCAATTTCAGCCTTCCTCTGAGGTACACTGGTCAACTGACCAGATAAAAGATCGGACAATGGCGATAGCAACTCTTTTGTTGTAGTCTACATTGGTAAACTTTCTCCAAAAGCATGCAGACCAGCCTTGGGACTCCTCTGCCCCTAATTTCTACTCGGTCTGCAGCTCCATGAAAACGAGGAGCACCATACTTTAAAAGGACCAGGTGGTATAAACTTGCAAACACAGAATATTTGAAAACAACATACTTCCTACATTCTTTCTACCACCACTCACCCATGATTTTAAAAAGAAGAACTCTCCAGCTCTTGTAAGTTAATTTTACAAAAGAGGATTATTACATAAGATATAAAGAGAAACTTCAACATTAATTTCTATAACTCCAAATACAAGAGTTCCTTAAAATAATTAAGAAAAGACATGACACACAATGCCAAAACATTTCCTATCAGCACCATATCCCACTGACAACAGGACCGCCAAACTGTGGCAAGACAGAAACTAGATTACAGTAGGATTACATTCTGTCTTGTGGATGTTTTTGGGAAGGACTTTTTATTCAAATTATTTGTTTAAAACCAGTTTTGCTTTAAAAACATAACAGTAAACTTCTCATAGTAAACTCTCTTCCAAACGTCTATAATACTATTAAGTCCAAAAAAACTCATTTCTAGAAATGGGAGTGGATGAGTTGGGTTTTGATAAGCCACCATTCTATGACAACACACACAAAACTATTCTAAACGCAAGTGGTGAGCAGTATATTGGGATTCTCATGAGCTCATTTCTCTTACTATTAAAACAGAGGGTTGGGGCGGGAATCCTGACCCAACTCAACCATACCAAGGCTCACATCTCTGCCCGCACCATCATTTCCCACACTCTGGAAACCAAACTCTCCCTTCCCATGGATCTTATTTGAAACAAAGAGAATGACACAAAAGATAAACACTTCACCGGAAACTATGACAAATGCAGTAAAATGTAAACAAGACACACCACCTTCTCGATTGTCCTATGATTGGATTAATACTCCATTTTGAATGATTATTCTCTCACCTAACCCTCATTATCAATTGTCAAAAGAGCAAATTGCATCTGTGATACAAAATCTTGAGTCTTATTTTGAAGTAATTATAATTTATAGACACTATAAGACACTATCATATGTCAAGCAAATACTTTGTGATATGAAATTTCAAGGTAATTATTATATCTCTTTAGATCCTAATTCTGGCAAACCATCATATCAAAAGCATATTCCCTGAGATCCTGGATGATCTGCAAATTTTCTGTTTCATCTGCAGTGTTCAGTTGTTTCATGGGAGCTATCAGTCCCCAGATCATCCTGATCAGACTGGGTGAGTACACCCCTGCTGCACTGGCAGTCCGCAGTGACACTGAATCTTCCCAGTGAGACTGAACCGCCCAAGAGAGTCGCTAGGACATGACTGTGGCACATGAAAAAGAGAAAGGGAGAGGTGTGGAGAGGAGTAAACCAAGGATGACAATAGACAAGTGGCACCGAGACAGGCAGAGAGAGCGTGGTGGCCGGCTGGCCCTGCATTACCGTTGTCTGGGTTGGTGAACATCCTACTTGCACTGGAGACAGTCTTCCCAATGTCAGCCAGGGACCGGAGGTTGGACTTCTTGGTCTGGTGCCGGTGCTTCCGGAGTAAAGTATAGGTCACCTTGTCCTTGAGGTCAGCTTTTAATAAGCCAGTCTCAATCTGATGGTCAACAATCATCTCTGATACCAATGCAAAACAAAACAAAAAACAAAAATTCAGCTCAGGCATAAATCCACAACATTAATTTTTTTACTCTAGCTTTATGGATGTCTACTATTAATGTAATACCAATATATTAATAAGCAAATCTCCAACACCTCATGTAATGCAAAGAATAAAATACAAGGTGCAGGGACACTGTCACTAATGACAGTGCTAAGTATTCTAGCATTAACTGTATGCCTGCAGAAGTAGAGTTTGCAAAAGTAGAGTTTTCTTGCTACATTTTTTTCAATCCTAATTACGATAAAAACCTTCTATGAGGTATACCATTATTATATTTTTCAGTTTTAGAAAAAGATTTTTAAAAATCTCATGAATTCAATTATGCATTAGAAATAGTAATGACAGGGAAAGCCTTGCAGAGAATATGTAAGACAATATAGTGACTATACTCATTTTTTACATCTATTTTCCCAAATTCTTTTTGATGTAACATTTTCAAAGCAACACTCTACTTCAATATCAGGTTATTTGAATGATGATTAACTCAATGAAAGACAAATTAAACTGCAAAATTCTGCTCTTGTCTTCTCTAAGAAGGTAGACATATTTTTCCTATTTAGATCCAGCTAAAGCCCTGCTAAACCCAATTTAAAGTCTTTTTCCACTAGTCATTGTGAAGTATAACAAGACTAAATTTTTCTATGATGTTTTCATATCTTAGGCTTAGCAAAAAAATGTTTCTATTAGCTGTTTTTAGTTCACTTTTAACAAATAAGAGATGGGTATATTTCACTGAAATATCTCCATGATTCACTTCCCTGAACAAGTTTCTAACATAGAACATAAAGACAGCCTTGGCTGCTACAAGTCAGTATAGCAAAGCACAGTGCAAATGCAGCCTGGTGCAACGCGGAGAGGATGGGCCAACATTTCCCTCCACCCAAAATGAGTCCAGGGACAAAACAACATAGAACCTGCGGTAGATGAGCTCGGGCAGAAAGCTACTTCACTGCATTCCAGTACAGCTCCTGCCCCTGTGTCAAATCAAAACAGTGGGGTCCTTGCCTACTTGCCTGTTGCCTAGCATACATCTCTAGCATATATCTCTCTGCTTTTCTCTTGAGCAAATTTCTCAGAGGAAAACACAAAATTACAAAACAGAACAAAAGCTATTCTTTCTTGCAAAAGCCTGACAAGAAAATTCATGGGTAATAGTAACATCACAACAAATCCCAAGGATTCCTGCTTCTTTGAAAGTATTTAAGGTGCTCTGTTTGTGCTTATCTACTGGTCACAGGAAGTATTCATAGAACTGTTTTACGACCTACAGCTAGAAACTGGCAACTTACACATACAACTAGATATTTGGAAAGCAACAGAGGCTACATCCAGGATTTGCGCATATGATGACTGTGGCTGCTTTAAATATCACAGAACTCTGGCCCAGTGTAAAATAGACTTTCCATATGGACTAGGACTTAAAGGGGAAGCGAAGAGGTATGTCCTGTGGGTATGTGATTATTTTACTGTGGAACAGAGGCTTAACTGTAAGAACAACAGCAGTTCTGAGAGTTTTGCTGAGTGGAGTTTATGCATGTAAAAATATTCAGAGCTAATGGCCACTCTCAGATGAATGCAGTCACAGGAGAAACTTCCTGGGCATGACATTTTACACAAGAATCATAAAAACAAACAAACAGCCCCAGCATATCTGCTACAAATGTTACCAAACTCCTACTCTAATTTCAGGGTTGTGGGTTAAAACGTTTTTTATTTGTCCTTCCTAGCAAGTCCTCCCTCTATTCTTGCACTCCCTTAAAATGGCAAAGCAATCTGCATATATGTGCAGCCAGTCTCCTATCACTAATGCCGGCAAATCACCAGTTAGAACAGGTTGAAACATCTGTGTAGCTTATGCCCTTCATTAAGCTTCCATAAAAATGGCCACATTACAAGGACCTCTTTAAGTATATCTAAAAAACCTTTAAAATGAAGTGGGGGCAGTAACATTTTATAGCTACACTGAAATTAAGCCTTCAGCTCAAAATCCCACAGATTCTACCAACTGGGAGAAAACATGCCACCTCTAGATCATAGCAGAGCTGAAAGAAACCTCAAGGAACATCAGGTTCAACCTCCATTATACAGATGAGAGCAGAGTCTCTAGAGGCATGTTGCCCATGAACACAGACTAGTCAGGGGCAAAACTCCTGAATCAAAGCAAGTTTTCTGACTCCTGTGAGGCACTTTCCTCATATCACACAGCAAATTTCTTTATCTAAAAGCAAGCTCTAGCCCTCTCATTAAACCCCACACAACTCCAAGAGGCAGAAATTATCATTGTCTGTATCATGGAGATGAAGACAAAGATTCAGGGGGTCAACTGACCTCTAGTCTCAATTCTTTCAGCCCTGCCTTTTGAAAATATATTTTTTATTATTTTATGAGCCTAAAGAGTACCAGAGAAGAAAAGGGACTCGCTCGCCTCCCTGGTAAGCAGCTGTGGCACAAGCGAGCATTGGGCGACCCAGAGAGAGCACCAGCCAACCAGTGTCTCCTGAGATCTGTACCACGTTGGAACAAGGAACCGGCTCGCCTTCCTGGAAGGCAGCTGTGAGCCTACCAGTGTGTGAACTGAGAACCAAACATCTCCTCACCCCAGCCTCAACAAATGGGAGCCAGAGGTCTGAGCATCTCTTGGGAGGATGACCGTATGCAATATAGCAAATATGGAGGATTTCCTTCTACCATCTCTTTGAAGGCAAATATTGTTATCACAGTTTTGCTTTATTTTGATTAATTGTATTGCTCTATTCAGTACTCTGTTTTGATAGGTTTCATGATGTTCTGTATTTGGTTTGATTTTGCTATACCTGATTGAAAGGACAACTTTTGTGAAGATAACAAGATACACTATGGAACCTATTACTGTTATCCCAGTAACCTGCTGTGAAGCTCTGTACCAGTTTCACTGCATTGTCTCTACTGGCTTTATTCTGTCTTGCTCTGGTATATTTTATTACGTTCAAAATAATAAAAAAGAAAAGTAAGTTCTATAGACAAAGGACTGATAACATGAAGAGTTTTTGCAAATCAAGAGGAAGATGGCCATGCAACAGAAAACTGGCAAAAATTAAGATAAGCATTACTCAAAGATACATAAAGGGAAAAATATACATAAATGCTCAACTTTGAGAATGATAGGGAAAGTTTAAACAATTTATGCAAATATCATGAATTATAAGATCACTTTTAATCTATCAAAGCAGTAAAAATTAAAGATAACCAACCCCTTATGTTGTGAAAGGTATGTACAATAGCCAATTTCAGTTAAGACAGAAAGTTAACTGATTGGCTCAAAAACTGAACAGGGTGCAAAGACCACTCTGGGATGTGTCTGCATGGGCTGCCGAGTCCTGACTTCAGGCACTGTTTCCCTGCTCTGCTCCCCGGGTACCATGGAGTCAATAGTTTTGTTCCACCGCGCCCATTACCATGTTTTGGCCTTGTACCAAGTGGACCACAGACTGAATCCTTTGAAACTGTGAGCCAAATGACAAATCTCCTCCCTTAGGTCTATCTGTTGGGTATGCATAGTGTCTCAGCCACGGGGAGATAGACCAGCACAACTGATGGTGGGCTAGTAGTACACTTGAAGGTCTGCTGGCAAATATACATGAAAATCCTTCTGTGTGATCAAACCTTTGGAATATTTTGCCACTAGAAATCTATAATAAGGAAATAACCAATTTCCCAAATATGTATCAAAGATGTTCACTTTCTTTTCTTTAGAATAAAAAGTTGGAGTCAACTTAAATGCCCAGTAATAGATTATGTTTATGTTTAATAGCACAGAAAATACTGACACAGAAACATAGTATTATCCCACTTTGGGGGGAAATTTATATATATGTAAACAGAGTTGTATAGAAAAAAATATTGAAGGGGTAGTTCTGCAAGAGTACTATTTTTATTTTTGTGAGTTATATTTTTTGGATTATTTAAAAACAAACATATCCTAGTGATGAAGGGAGAAAGCAATAAAGAGAATGCCATTTTGAAAATATAAAAGTTATAGAAAGCAAGACACAACAAGACTCACACATCTGTTGACATGCACAGCACAGGAATACCTTTACATATAAAAATGAGCTTAAAAGACAGAGGTATGCTTCCAAATCCATTTATCATCATCATAAAATATCTGAAATAGCTTATAATGTTTTAGCTGAGGATAGGAAGGAAATTCCCATGTACTGGCTTCATGCATGAACAACATTCTCTAAAAGCAGAATTGCAATGATGCTGTTAATAAAAGATGTATTAAAATAATCCATGAAAATTATGTTTTATCTTTTACAACACTTTAAATTATTAAATTATTAATTGAATAAATTATTCTGTTAGCATGCAAAAGTGGTTTCTTCATAAATGAGGCTGAATTTTTAGGAAAGTGTGAAGGCGAAACCTGCTGGCACAGGAGCCTTGCCCTGCTCGGGCTCGCAAGGCTCCACACCCTGGGTGCCGTCCCGGAGCCTGACTGCAGGCCTCTCAGAGTGGGCCCAGGAGAAGTGGTATCAGGGTACAGGTACTACAAGAAGGATGGAAACTATACTACTGTTGGATATACTCACGTGTGTTATTATTTATTTTTCTTCTCATTTGTTGAAATAAAATTGGGGTATTGGGGGAGATGTATCTTAAGACTTTGTTGCATGTAATTCTCAACTCAGAATTATCAGCATGGTGCAAGACAAAGCAACTCCAATTCATCCTCTGCTAGAAAAGGATTTTCTTAATAACTAAATAATGACGGTAACCCTTCAAATTACAGCGTCATCCTCCACCATTTAAAATGAAGTCAGGTGTTTTCGTTCTTCATATTTCAGCCTTGGTAAGGTTTTGATTCTTTTGGAGGATTGTATTTCCTGCTAGCCAGTTACACTCTTTCAATCACACTCTTATCCCCATGCCTGCAAAACTGGCCTTTTCCTCTCCTTTTGCTTTGCTCATGATGTGGTTTGCCTCTGGGCTGCTTTTCTGTATTATCAGCTCTGCAATGACAGCGCTGGCTGTCAGGCCGCTTGCCCCAAGGCCTGAGGAGCAACATATTAGTGAGTGATGATACTTCAAAGTGACCGAGTGCTGTCTAATTTTAACATGCAGTGACAATTTTAAAGCAAATGCATAGAGGTTAGAGAAAAAGTTCACAACTAGTGATAAAAGTAATGGAAAATTAAAAGCACAAACATCAAATCCTTGATTAACCTTTCTTAAATTTCACAAATACCAGAACTTTTCTCTGTGTCCATTGGCTAAAGAAGTTCCGGGTCCACATGTAAAGGATCAGTTAGTTACTGAAGACCAGATGTGCCTTAAAGTGCCTCTTGCTCATGATGAAGATCATAAAGACAGTTTTACAAAAAGCCCAACGATTTAATGCAACTTTAACTTCCAGTGCCCTTGTTGACTGGCTCCAAGAACAGCAAAGAAGCTGTCCAGTTGTCTCCAACTCTGCCCACCACGCCCTCTGGAATCTTCTCTGCCGCTCTCAAGGTCTCGGAGCATCTCTCTCCCTGACTCCATCAGGCTCCTCCAGCCCTCTCGCTGTCCAACATTAGAAGAGCTGGATAACCACTACAACCGATGATCTTGTTTCAGTCTCTCAAGGATTCTGAACGGTCTCCCTTAGTGTTACTTTTACAGATAAGGATAACAGCCTCCAAAGAGTTAAATAACTAGTGTTGCTTGTGCTCGTCCATGCTACCACATGGAAACTGTCATTAAAGCCACAAACTACATCCAGCTTTCTTTCTGTGATACTTCTCTGTATCTCATAAAATCAAAACATGATCCCCTCCAATTATATATATTTGTATAGACAACAAATCCGGTCTCTCTGGTGAAATTAATGTCTACATGGCAGAACTTCAGGCAAACAAAGTGTGCACAAACTAGTCTCAGCACAAATGTGTCCTGACTCAGTCACTAACCCCTAAGATCCTCTCCTTCCCTGGCCCAATACAACCTTTCTCAACACAGAGCTTAAAAACCTAACATCCTCCTACAGCCAGGCCCCACCCAGGAACTAGGCTATGTCTCCTCTTACAGTGGCTATAAACTCTACAAATGTGAAACCAAATTAGGTGCCTGAGAGGCCTGAACTGTGAAGCAGTGCTAGAAATCTAACTTCCAAACTTCTGTTTAATGTAACCAAGCTGGACAAGGGAGAGCCTATGCAAAATATTGATCTTCTACTAATAAATCAAGGAAATGAATACAAATCTGTGTCTATAAATATGACCTTCACTGCAACGCTAAAACTGGAAGGCATAAAATATTGGGAAATAAACTGGGGAGGGAATATTCCAAAATATTACTAACAATTATGAGCAGAGATAAGCATTGATACTTTATATTTTAATAGTGGTCTGAATTTTCCAAATTTTCTGCAATAAACCATACCAGTTTTACAAACAAAAATAGAAGAATAAATGTTATAAAGTATTTAAATGTGTTCATAATGGTAGACATCTGCAGTGATAGAGACTCACGGATTCATAAAGCCAAAAATGCAACAGGAACCCAAAACAATGTACTTACCCACCAGCTGAGGGAGAGAGGAGGCCTCATGGTCAAGCATGATCGATCCCTTCTCCATACACGTCCTCAGCTCAAATAAGCTGTGCAGAGACAGCGTGGCCACATGTGGCTTGCTCCACCTCTCCCCACCTTGCTCCACTTTCTCTTCAAACTTAATCCACCTGGAAGATAAAATCAGCAAATGGCAATTACAAGTGTCCCGACCTCCTCTAGAAATACCAATGTCCATTCTTTCATCTTCGTGCTTATAGAACTCTGAAATACCTCCTTTCACAGAATCTCAGAAGAACATTGTATCAATAATTATATTATCTTCGGGAATGCACCCAAACAGAGCCACTAGACCACTTCTACCCAAGTGAGAGAGAAATAGCGAACAGGAAGAGACAAAGCATCTTTGCTTTTATATGTGCCCATAAGTAGTCATGTAATGCCTAAGAACAGTTACTGAACTAAGTTTTTAATGTAAGGTAGCAAAAAAATGTTCAAATCAAACTTCTCTCAGGGGACGGAGCTTACAATGTATAAAAATAGCCATCACTGAGAGAATTCCGTGATGACTTTACAAGGTGGATTTAGATAAGGTGAGATATCAGTGATAAAACAATACTCATTTCACTTGTAAATGATGACGCATGCAGTGGTAAAATCAATGTAAAATTTCCTTCTGATGTTTAGAAGAGGTAACCATGTTTTAATGCATCTGTGTTTAAAATATACTTCTTGTCTAACACATGGGATCTTCTCATTGACATTATAATAAAAATTATATTCTTCAAGTCTAGCTCCATACATGTTTAAAAATATTACCAACTCAGCGAGCAACAGATCTGGTCTGATAACAACAGATTTTGTATTAACTTGAGCAATGGAACAGACAACCCTCTTCCATAGCTTCTGTTTCCTATGACTTGTAGACATTTTGGTAACCCAGAAATATATAGAAAAAGCCTGATGAAATGAAAGACACGTACAACCTTATATCCGACATATTATATTACACACAGACTCTCCCACTGTAAAGGACTAGGGAAAGTTTCATCGTGCACCATGTATCACCACCCAAACAAGAGCTTCATTTTGCTCACTCCAAACCTTCTGAAAGATATTGGAAGAGATGAAGAGGTGGTTAAAATGTGTTCTCTCTACATTTTTAACTCAAGGTTTAATGATTGAAAATATTTGCCCATAAAAAGCTAAATGCTCACGTAACTCACCAAAGCTCAGAACAAAGGGCAGAGATCAGAGAAAGCTCTGTGTAAGGTATTATTTATACAACTCTGAGCCAGGCCTGAGGAGGGGGAGAAAGCACATTAGGAGAACCAGGCATGGAAATGGATCAAGAGACCAGCCAGTATGCAAGAAAATGAGAATGTAGTCAGCCCTCCTGATCCGCGAGCATTCTGTCAACCCAGGACCCTGTGTCCCCCGCTGCCTCCGAGGCCTCTCCCAGCTGGCACCCCTCCACATTAATAGTCCGCCCTCCCAAACTTGACCAATTGTCAGAACCTCCCTTTCTTCCCTGAGTCTCCCCAAAACAAGATAAGCAGTTGAGATTTTTACATTTTTATCTCAAAAGTTAAAATGTCAACATCATCACCAAGGAGGTTCTAAAACTTCACAACTGAACCTACTTTACTTCTATGAATGTGGTTGAAGCACATTCTACAAGACAAAGGAAGATCTCTCATCTTCTTATGTGTATACTCAGGCACATGATTAAATTAATGTGTCTTAGGGCTGGGGATTTAGCTCAGCAGCATAAGTGCCTGCCTGGCAAGCACGAGATTGTGAGTTCAATCCCCAGTACAAAAAAAAAAAAGAGAAAAAAATTAGTGTTTCTTTATTTCGGTTGGAATTAGCATCAGAGAAATGGAGGTGGGAGAAAAAAATGACAACCTTACATCATACCCTTAAGAGAATTCTATGAATAACTAAAATAAAAAGTAACTAAGGTGAATGGGCTACTTTGAGAATAGTCATCTTACAGAGCATATCCATTGGCTAACTTTAGGTAGATCATACTATCCTGCTTGCTCACAGAATCCCTACCCATATCTTTTGGAGACTGTTGCATGAACCATGTTTACATCTACTATACATGACGTTATAACATTCCTTAACATCAGATTCCAGAAGCAGGAGATTCCACAGCATTTAAAACCCAGTCGAGATTACACAGAATTATGTCATCTATAAAGAGGTAGCGATTCCTTGTTTTATATTTCCAGGAGTATTCTTATTACACAAACTCTTTGGCCACAGAATTTAAGCCCAAAAAGCTGGGTGTGGTGGCTCACGCCTGTAATTCCAGCACTTGGGAGGCTGAGCAGGAGGATCATTTCGAGTTCAAGACCAGCTTGGGCTACAAAGTAAGCTCAAGACCAGCCTGCACTGCATAGAGGAAACCCTGTCTCAAAAGACAAAAAAAAAAAAAAAAGCCCAAGATGAATGACAGGGATCAACTAAAAATTCTTTAAAGTGTAAAATTTTATATAGCCTTCATTTCTCTATTATCTTCCTAAATAAATTTCTATTGGCTGCTATTAATAGTCATCTAATTATAGCTAATAATAGTCATATTAATAGGTACCACTAAGCCAATTCCTTAGAAAATTAAGCATCACTTGTACACGATATGTACAATTTTCTGCCACTATCTTGGCTATGGTCTGAGTATGTGCATCCTTGAATGTGTCTGTTGAAATCTTAATCTCCCTAAAATGATGTACCACAAGGAAGGAGCTTTGCAAGGAGACATAACCATGAGGGTGGAGCCCTCATGACTGGCATTAATGCCCTTACCAACCAAGCCCCAACAGACAGACTGCCATTTCCACCTGGAAACACATCACCAGAAGGCACTATCTCTGAGAAAATGAGCCCTCAGGAGATACCTGAGGGCTCTCTGTTGACTTGATGTTGGGCTTCCTGCCTCCAGAACTGCGAGAAGCAAATTTCTGTTCCTTACAACAAAAATTTACCAATTTCTGATAATCTGATATTACACCCAAATAAGCTCAGACAATCCAACTATCCAAGCAATGTAAATGTCATAAAGTTTTCAAAGTAGAAGAAGGAGGAGAAGGAGTTAAGTCTCAAAGCTAGTCACTTACTGAGAAGCCACCTTCTAAGGAATGAGTATTACCCGTAGTTCAGTTCAGGATCTATTTCACTTTGACTTCACTCATAGGACAGGCCAGCTGACATCACAGTGAGAACCTCAGGATAATGCCTATTAAATTTCTTCACAATGTAATGCTCTAATTGTTCAAAGAATGATTACACTCCCAGCATAAGCACTTAGACATAAAGCAATGGTTCATCATTTAAATAGATTATTTGCTAATAATGCAATTCCAGAAAATGTGCATGCAACGTCTACCCTCCTCACATATCAAGGACAAACTTGAAAAAGAAAACTAACTATTACTCAGTTCAAATCAAAGCCCATTAAAAACAAGGCTAAGGCAAAGGTACCAAAGTTCAGCCTATCCAAAGGCTAATGAGTCTGGAAAGGTGTTTCAGAGCCATGTAATTATGTTTATTTTTAAAAAATAGACACAGTTATTTTTATTTTTAAAAAAACACATTTATCTCAGTTTTAGTATCTACCCTTCACAATACCTATGAATAAGCACATATTTGCAATACATTTCCAATTTTCCCTCTTTCCCTTTTGATACTTTACATATTACAGGAAAATAAATTTCAAAAGTTGGCTTTTAAATACTTGCAATTACAAAACTGTGGCACCCTTGGAGGAGGAATTTATTAGGTGAAGTTTATTTATTCCAAGGTCTTAGAAGAATAATGATAAAGTACACTGCAGTTTAACACACTTTGAAAGCCTGCCAACCAAGAAGCATTTCACTGGTTGTTGAAGAAATAGAAGGTCCACTGGGAATCACTGAATTTTGCAACTTTCCAATCCTATGATTAAATATAATTAAGAAAAGACAAAATTTGACTTAAAAGTCTTCCAGTTTTACGACGGAAAATAGACGTGACCTTTGCACTAGAATATAATCCAACTATGTAAAACTACTGAAATGAACACATTTCTCGCAATTAATAAGTGCCTCGTCACACATTAAAAAAGCAAATGCTAGTATGTATCTGGGATAAATGATGTTTTTAAGAATTCTTAAATTCCTAGAACAACTGTGAAAGTAACTGCATATAATTACTAGATATAACTTCATATAATTACATAGATAATTAAATTCCTTGAGACTTTTCCTTATAGGAAAAAAAACGTGTCCTGAAATGGAGTTTCCCAAAATAATCCAGTAGAGAAGACAGAGAGTCAGTTCGACTGGGGAGTCACGGTGTCAGTGGACGTGCTGCTGTTTTGGAGAACCTTAAATTAGGTTCTCCAGAGGTGAATCAGGTCATTGGTCTCAACAGAAACACAAGCAGCGTCCACTTGTGCTGTCCCTCTGGACATGAGGCACCAGTACCCTTTTCCTTCTTTGGCCTGTGCTTTTGGAATCTGTGACAGCGTTCCAGTGCACCCAGGTTCGGCAGCCAGTTTGAACTGCACTGAATGAGTGATCTTTAACTTATATTCAGTTTGACAGAAATTTTAACTAAAAAATCACTACATAAAAACCTAAAGCTCATAATCATATTTCAGCAATATTCCTTACTTAAAGAAATAAAGAGCATGGGGAAAGAAACAAGGTCCCTTCTTCCTGATGTTGGGCCACCAACAAAGCTGGACCATAAATGATTCTTTTTCTTTTTTTTGTACCAAGGATCAAACTTATAACCTCATACTTGCCAGGTAGGCACTTACACTGCTGAGTTAGATCCACAGCCCCTCTTGTCTACCTCGTGAGCTACTAGCTGATGTCAACGCGTAAGGAGAAGCTCAGGCTTCCTCAGCAGTGCCACAGGGCTCCATCTTAATTAGCATGGTCTTAACTTCTCTAGTAACTGCACAGTGGGACGTACGGTGCCATTAAAATGAGCTACTGTCCGTACTGTCCTAGTGGTCAGATATATTTCTCGGGCCTGATAAGTCTCCCTGTGCAGTCTTCACCTTGTGCTGTATTTTGGAAGAGCCAGTGACATTCAGAGTTCTAACTTACAAGAAAGAGAAGAATGGTAAAAGAATATAAAAAGGAGTATAGTAAACTTAGCAAAGACCTCTTTCATTCACAGTGTACATGATGCCTGTGCTTCCCAAGACTTAACGTGGATGTCTCCCCTGTTACTGAAAAAACTTTATCTTTTAAGGTAAAAGAGCCAACCTAAACCCGCTAAAGCAATACAGAAACCACCCAGTGCTAAAGCTAAGTGTAGAATATTCTTGGTCAAATCATATCATTGGCTGACTGAGAAAGATAGGACTTTAAAGGGTAAACGAGGCTGTCACCATGGGGAAGACACACTAGAAACTGTGTCGAGCAGGAGAAGGTCACGTATTTGTGGAATAAAATCATCAGCCAGTTGGGGATGTATCTCTGGGGTAGGATACCTGCCTCGCAGCACAAGTTCCTGGGTTCAATCCCTAGCATACCACCACCTAAAAGATGTTTAGTAACTGGGCTTTTTCAAAATGCAAATAATTCTATAATTTATAAATTAGTCAGAAATAGATTCATGCTACATCTTCATATACAAAATGAATTCCTTCTAAGCACTAACTATTACCTTTGGAAGATTTAAAGTTTTTAATGGATGGAGGGGAAAACCTCGTCATGCCTGGAAACTAGACCTCAAAATGGAAGTCAGAAATGACTGCACAAATATTCTGAAGCAGATTATGTCACATGATTACTGAAAATATGAACACTTATGGAAGCATAATCACCAGTCTTCTCCCCAGAAATTATATGGAGGTAAAGACTTAGAATCTATGTTTTCCTTCTCTGCTCAAATATTCAATCCCTATTTCCTGAGCATTAACTTCATGCCAAGCAGCTCTGCACACGAGGAGCTGAGTGGTGAACAATCTGCAATGAACACTCCTGGTCTCGTAGAGCTTTCAGTCTATTAAAAGGAAATAATAACACAACATACAATATGCAAAGCGGTGACAAGACCCAAGGACAAAAAGGACGTGGACTAGGAGCAGCAAGTGTGGGGGAAGGTCTCAGTCTCAGGACAGCCACTGAGAAGGGAATACCTGAGTAAAGACCCGAAAGAAGCCAGGAAAGGAGCCACACAGAGGGACACAAGCACAAGGGCCCCGACAAGGCACCCAAGGGGCACCCAAGACAGCTGAGCAGCAGAGAAAGTCAAAGACATCAGCCCATTCTCCAAGAAGGGCTGTCGAAGGCAGACCAAAGAAACGACCTCAGAGGAGAGACGGTGGTAGCTGTGGCAGTACTGAATCTGAAGCATGCTGAGACATCTGAACACCTGAGGGTGCGCAAGGGTTCAAGAGAGTTTTCTAGTTGCTCAGAGAGCACGTGCAGCAAAAAATAGGAGTCAAGGAAGACATGTTCTGGCAGCCACACGAAATGGCCACAATTGTTTACTGAGACAGGGAAATCTGCAGGAAGAGCAGATCTAGACACATTAATTTTGAGACTCCTAACATCCCTTCTAAGTATTTAATTCAGTACCCCTCTACATATTTAAATAAGGAAAGAAGTTTAGGTTAGAGACATAAACGCAGGTATCATTAGCACATGGATGAAATAGTTTGATGTGCCAGGCACTTGGGGTCTAGCATTTCACAGCTACCTCTCAGTCAGAAAGACCTGAATTATACCAGAACTTCACCTTTGGCTAGTTAATATTTTTAAGGAACTATTATATATGAAACAGTTATTTTGAAGGCAATCAGTTCTTCAGCAATCACACATTCAGTAAACGCTTACTGAGAACCTCTGAGGAGCCAGGCCCTGCACAGCACTGGGAATCCCACAGTGAAAAACAAGCAGGGTCCTTGACTTTATGTGAATTAGAGAAATGATGACAACAGTAATATCATAAACACAATTAGTAAACAGTAATTGCAGCAAGTCCTATACAAAAGTGCAGACTACTGGGAATAGTCTTTTTCTTTTCTTTTCTTTCTGGACAGCACCCTCCTGGCACACAGTACCCTTCCCAGCCCTCCCATGCCAGCAGTGCAGTCTCTTGGGGCTGAGCACATCACCAAATGGCACATGTGTTTTCACTCCCTAAAAACAGTTGTTTAAGGATGGCAAAGAATTCATGAGCATCATAATCTTTAAGGATCTTAAATAGACATTTTATGCCCATCTCACTAACACTGGGTTACTTACATAATGAACTACTGATCACATCACCTGTATGAGACCAGGAGTCCGGGAAAACAAAGTTCAGCCTCCCTGGGACTGAAGCAGAGAGCGAGAAACCACCCCTGCCATATACTCTAACTACTCACAGAATCTCAGATAAGAATAAGAATCCAAGCAGCTCTTAGCATCACAGTGACAATGCCAGGACACATTCAGGAATACACTGTTAGAGCAGTAAAATACGCACAGTGTTGGATGCAAACCACTTAACAGAACAGGAAACTCGGGTTTCAGAAGACTACACAATGTGGTCACATTTAAACAACCAGGGAGCCACAAAACCAAGGCCACACCACTGCCACCCGACACTTAAATGATTAGGCACAGCACAGGTCTTGCCTCATATCTGCCACTAGGAAGACGGAAAAGAATGAAGCACAGACCCCAGGAAGATGTTTGGGAAGGCTTCCTTCCTCTGGAGGATGCCCACGGACTAAAAGTGCACAAAAGACCACGTAACAGACTACAGAAGGGACTAACTCTTCCAGAAGGGAATAAAGAACAATTACCACATCATAGGAAGATATTAGAAAAGCAAAGAATAAAGAGCTTCCAGACAGAGTATTAGAGATGAAACAGAAATCCACTGCCAAGAGCTTTCTAAGTAGAGGATGAAAAGTGTTTATTAGTTAGCAAGCAAAAGAGTGTGTAGGTGTCTATTAGAAAGAGAATTACCCAACAAATGGCAAATAACGTTCATTAAAATTAGGTCTCTTGCCTATAAAGGTCAGAAATAAAATATAATGCTTTTTTCTTTTCAGACCATTGCAAAAGATAAGAAATTTTCCACAGATTCCATTAAACTTTTAAAGGAAGAGTGTCTGCCGGGCCAGTCTCCCTAGAAATTCTTGAGGAGTAAGAGCTTTTCCATCATCATCAAATGTGCTAATTTACAAAATTTCTCTAGTATTAAAACTATCAAACAGCTGAAGACATTTGGCAATACTCAAAATTGTGGAAATTAGAAGCTATCTATCTATAAACCATTATAAATCCAATGTTCTAACCCACAACAAATATAATCAACTTGATGAGGCTTGATTATAAAGTAAGAAACTAAAGTTCTTCCTTTAGCTCTTAAAAAAATACTCATTTAGAAAAAAAGAACTGGCTAATAGAGTCTTTTTGGTTTATCTTCTCTTACTGATTATCAGTAATAAAAATAACAACTTTCTAATGCAAACATGACCTATCTTGAATAGAAGAGCAGGCATAGATCCCTTTCCATCTTTTACTACAGCAGAAAAAAATCCACTTATTGAAGAAATTCACTTATTTTTTTCATTTATTTTTCATAAACTCAAAGCAGGGATAATCACTGGTATTCCTCAGTTGGTAAAATATTATCCTGAACTCATCTGAAACTTTTCAGTAAAATACAGAGACTAAGGATCCTTTATTCATTAACTGCTGAATCTCAGTGCCTAAAACAGAGCCTGCCATACTACCACTCCCTCGAAAAGCCCCATTTGAATTGAACTAACTCAAATTAAAGTATAAGCCATAAAAGGCACATATTTAAATTACTTTGCTTAGAAAAGTCCATTGGTATTTCTATGCATTAATGACAATGAAATACTAATAATTATATCAGTCCTCTATTATATATTTTATATGTGTCATGGAAAGGGATTTAGACTAAATATGTATTGAAAATACATAAGAAAAAGCTCTAGTATCATGTAATTCATAAAAACTTAAGAGGCTTGTGTAGTGCTCAGTAATTTGCAATTATATATATATATGTATATATATATATATATCTGTACATATATGTATGTAAACATTCATGATATACTATTCATGTATATGACATTTCTATATTATGTATTTTAAATAGCATACATATGTAATGTATAAGGGAGACATTAGTATCCACTCTTTACTCCTAATAAAACTAAAGTTCTAAGAAACTGAATGTCATGTAACTAAGTGAAGACACAGTATAAACGTAAACTGAAGACTCTAAACTCCAGAATCAGGTGAACCTTCTACTTGCTCTCAGCTGGATCCTTAGAAAGCAACAAGTTTTTACTTGAAATTATACCAACTACGTCTTACAATCAGCACTACTTCACAACACCAGTGCATCAGGACAAGTAACACTGGCATTGTAGATATGTGAAAGACATCTCTTGGCTGCCATCTTTGGGTGCTTGAGTTTATTATCTCTATAAAGTATTTTATTACTAAATAGCATATAAACTGAGATTTACACTCATTTCTTACAAAAATTTCACCACACCAGTGAAACCACGGTGCAGGAGTACCGTAAGAGACGGCTGTGCCCACGATAATGGAAAGCAGGCAGACTGGCTCGTCTCTCAGCCCTGCCCACACCACCCTTGCCATGCTCACAGGAGGGCTGCGGCTGGGGAGCTGCAGGCCAGGCTCGTCCGCCTCCCTTCTGCTGGGCCGGGTCAGCACTGCACACACCCTGCCGGGCCTCACCTTGCTGTCTCCTTCCACTCCATCTCCTGCCCATCCACGGCCAGAAGCTCATCCAGCTCCGTGAAGAGCTGAGGGGGCGCGGGGCTGTCATCTTCCTCTCCCAAGATGAAGCGGATGCGTTCTGCCGCAGGAGAGACTGCAGAAGTGAAAATACTGTGGTTAAACACGGGCTGGACAATCCTGAGGAACGTGTAGCTCCTGGCTCCTCCTCTCTCCCCAAGATTATTTGGCTTCCCATCCACATTTTCAGAGGACATCTTTCTTGCTGAGTCTCCCTTATCCCCAGCCTAAAGCCAAAAGGACATGGAAGTCTGTCTCTGCTCTCCTAGTCCAAACTCTGGCTCAGTTCTCCTGCTCCTTCCACAAGAACAACACCCAGATCTGTACGGTGTGTGACTGAGAACCTTGAGCCCTTGGATGGACCAAGGTCTACTCACACTATGCCCCTCCCTCTTTACAAATGACCTGCCTACAATATAAGACAGCAATCAGCATGAACCAATCACTTGTCTGTGTATAGTACAGGCGAAGGGCAGCAGGGCACCCCAATCCTGAGTCCCGCCTCCCACCTACCCTCTGTCCAGTGTCTGAGCCTATGTCCTGAAGGTTCTCAGTGCCAGAATCTCAAGAACCACAGAACTGATGCAGGAATGTTTAACAAGACGGATCTCTTCTTGACATAATGGCAGTACCCAAAAGCATTTAGTCACACTTCAGCGCACTTGGAAAACAAGCCCAAGTAAAATATTGTACACCTGAGGGGAAAAAAACCTTTCCAACACACGTAATCACATAATTGAATGCCCTACCAGCGCCATTTGACCCCATCCCCTGAAAATCATGTAATGAAAAATTAACCAGAATTTAGCTCAGGTTTTGAGTTATTTTCTTTCTTGAAGAAGGGGAGAGATAGAGACATACAAAGAGAAAAATGCACTTGAAAATTAAATTGACAGTCACTTTACAAAACTAAGACCCATAAATATTTTCATAATCTCTGGGTAAAACCAAGAATGGCACATATAGATGAATGTATCACAGAGTATAATATAATTCTGCATATCAAAATGTATTTACGATAAATAAACTCGTGAAAAATATTTAAGCTAACCAAAATAAAAATTAATTCTTAAAATAAAATATATATTTTTACCTATTAAAATGGCAACAATGAAAGAGACAGAGGCGGAAAGAAGGGGAGGGAAAGAAAATGAAACAGGAATCAGGATGTGTGTGCACAGGGGCCAACGCCACACCAGGACTGTTAACACTCTGTACCACACACATGTATTAATACAAAAATGTAAGTGGCACCAGAGTGGTAACTCTCAGTGTTCAGGAATCACGCAGTGGCATCTTATGATGCTGGGTGCTGATGGGGGCTTCAGTATGAACATGCCTCTGAAGGAAATTGAAAAAGGTATATATGAAAATACACCCTGTAGTTCTCGCACTAAAGATTCATTCATTCCAAACAGTTCTCAACCATTTTGCTGTACAGTGGTCGGATCATTGCAACAAGTGTTTGTAATCAAGATAGAAAACTTCCAAATAGCCAAAAGGAGGATGACTTAAATAAAGTATGGTACAAATATTACATAAAGTACGTACAAATATTATTTAAATAAAATATGGTACAATCAAATATTTCTCACAGATTATGAGAGTCATCTTGTGTGGTTTTCTAAGTTTACAGTCATTTTTATGGTCTTACACTGCTGTAACTGCCCACATATTTAGATATGAAGGCATATTTAAGTTAACAAGTATACTTTACATGTTATAAAGTTCATCTTTTTTTTTTGTACCAAGAATCAAACTCACAAACTTGTGCTGGCCAGGCAGACACTTACACCATTGAGCTAAATCTTCAGCTAAAGTTCATCTTTAGGAAAAAGAAAAAAGACAGGCATGGTGGTGCACTCCTGTAATCCCCAGCACTTGGGAGGCTGAGGCCTCCCGGAGAATCGTTTGCAAGTTTGACACCAGCCTGGGCTGCAAAGTGAGCCTAAGACCAGCCTGAAATGCATAGTCAGACCCTGTTTCAAAACAACAAAAAAATAATAATAATGGTAATAACTACAGTTCATCTTTACAGCTTGTATTTTCCTCCATTTACTTTGTTATAATTTCAAAGTATGTACCATTTGTCCACATATTCATTCAGCAGACACTGAGCATGGTCTATGTTCTAAAGTAAGCTTTGCTTCACACTCAGAAGACAAAGCAAAACAATGTGATATAAAAGCCCTTGTTCTATTCATCCAAGGAAAGGAAATAAACATTAACAATTAATTAGCCACATGAATCAACAGATTAGTACATAAACCAAGAAAAAATATTTGCTAACCACATAGAAATATTTGTGAACATAAAGATAATCAACTACATACTGACACAGTGATCATGTTTTATGTCTATAATTAGAAAACAATTTTTAAATTTCTTAATATCTCTGGGGGAAAGAATAAATTCAATTTGAGGACTTTTATATAAAAACATCTGCAAGGCCTTTCCAATCAAGAAACTGGAAATGTAATTATTTCAGGGGATCAGAGAGGGCATGAAAATGAAGACATGCTGAGCAAAATCAGCAGTTAGTGACATTTCTGGCCACACTACTGACAGCTGGGTCACTTCATCAAACTTGTTCTGAAAGCAATGGTCACAATTTCATTAACTTTTCACAGCATTCAAATAAAAGACCCAAAGTAACCACGGCTTTCAGAAGGGGAAGTCTTGGGTAGACAACTACCTTTCTAAACATCTGTAAAGTTGTGATACAGGTTGGTTTCTACCTCTAACGCAGAAGAGCAATGGTTTTTCCAATTTAAAAGACTCTCGCGCACTGGCAGTGTGGTACTCCACTCAGCTCTGCCGAAGGAGCCCTCGGGCACTCTGCATTTATCTGGAAGACACCATTGCATTTCTCAGACAGCCCCTCGGAGTAGTGTCTGTGAAACGGAGCACGTGGGGACAGAGCGTGACCTCTGGTCTCAGTCTCCAGGTGCTATGCCTCACACTCCTCCTGGTCACCTGATCTTTCATAAGCATCAGTACAGTGATCTTTAGGGGAGTAAATTCCAGACTTGCATGTCACAGGCTAGCCACTCCCCCATCTTTCTCAGGAACTAAAAGACACCAGGGCAGTCACATGCAGATACTCTTCCAGACACTAACATCATGTCAACATGGAGACACGCAGACAGTGGGAGTCCCCAGGGTGATCCATGTCAGGAATTCACTGCTCCCCAGAACCCGTGACCATACAAAAAAATAAACTGATGACACAAGACACTGAGAGGACTGGAGCCAGGCTGCCTGCATCAGTCCTCAACTCTGTTCCTTACTAGCTGTGTGACCTGAGACATGTCGATCAACATCTCTGAGTTTCAAACTCCCTGCCTCCAACTTAGGTCCTAAGCAAGCCTTCGCACAGATATGACTGACCTTGAGAGCTGCTGCACACTGAAATTTTACAAGGTAGGAAAGACAACCACCAAAAGCTGTGTCTGTTTTACTTCAATGAGGTGAGTGGCTCCCATGCGGGGCCACGTTCATGGAAACAGACTGCAGAGAGCAAGGGCGAGCAGTAAAACTTCGTGAGCAGCACTCTAAAATTAACGTGCATCGCACAGGAACAGACTGTACTCCCAAGCAACCTGCATCCCACAGAGGCCTGCAGGAAAAAGTGAGAAGGATCACCGGGAAGATGGGAGCCGACAGATTCATCTGAGCATCCTGTCGGCAAGCCCAGGGTCAAGGCGGAGCTTGACTCCGGCCTGCCTCCATCTTCTGCAGTGAGAATGCTTAGGACCTCCTGCAGTCTCAGCACAGTGGGGTCCTCTCCACCCAGCATCCGCCTGCAGGTGACAGGTGGTCTCTCACGTCAGCAGGAGCCCCCGACCCACCAGGACAAGAGCCGGGCAATATGCACAGAATGCCGTGGTCCCCACTCCCCAGCTCCGCTGCAAGCTTCACTCACGAACATCCCTCTCACTCTGGCCCTGCCCTGCCCAGGCCAAGGCTCCTCGCCCAGCGCCACACCTCTGTCAGGGGTATACAAGAGACAAGACAACCACGACCCAGCCTCCGTTCAAGTCTGTTTCATGTCACACTGACCCCAACCTGTGTGTCCAACCCTGTCTCCACAGGAAACCAGGGTTGTTTGGTGACCCCAGAAGAGCTGAGCTGCCTGTCATCCAATCTCTTTCTCACTCTTTCCTAAGTAACTCAGTTTCCCAGGCTTGAACTGCATGCTTTCCAATATCCCACCCTAACTATCCGCAAAACCAAGGGACTGTTCCTTATTCAGCCCACAGTGAGGCTCTGGGCCTGAATGACCGGTTCAGGCACACGGAAAACATGCTCAATATACCTAATTTTGTACAAGTAACTTCTAGACCATCAAACTGGAACACAGACTCTGTGTTTTCTGTGTCCTCCTCAGAAAACAACACAGAATGTCCATAATAAAATACTTTAAATATTGATTCAATTAATTAGATATGAGTGAATAATCTTTGGAAATCTTCAAATACATGAATGCATACCATTTGCAAAACAAATCTCAGACTAAGAATTTTGAAACAGAAAATATCTCAAGCTTCAAAAACTGTCCTCAATCTATCCTATCCCTTTATATATCTTGGCGTTAGTCACACAAGAGCAAAATACAAGGGCATTCAAGGTTGAGTAAGCCTCAAACGAAAGAGTGAACGCCTCAGGTAAGTGCTTTTCCTCTGCTGATGCAGCCTCCCCCACCTCAAGGGCCGCCACGTGAAGTCTGCTCGGACAGCGACCGCCCCGCTCCAGACTTTCCTTGTTTCTCTACCTTGTCTTTCACACCTCTACAAGTAAACTATCTGGTTCACCTTTTAGATAAACCCTTCCTGGTGCCCACAAAGTTACACAAAAAGAGATGAATATAAAAACTCAGGAAGAGAATGCAGAAAGGAAAGAATGAATAATATATATCCCGGCTCAGTTCCTCAGGAAACATCTTCTCTGCTTCTTTTCCCTGTCTTTCTAAGTGTGTCTTAGAAAATGGCACAGTAGAACAAAATGGAAAATCTAAGACCTGCTATTTGGGATCAGAATGAACACAAGACTTGCCCCCTCATATCACTGGGAGAT